ATGTGACCCGATTTCAATGAAAATGATTCACTTGCGTAAAAGTACATATGAAGTTTTGTGAAAAATCTGTATGTGATGGAGAAAAGGGGCTATCATTTTCGGATTCAGCGTACAGGAATTACTGAAGAGCATGGTATCATTTCAAGACAATAAAACCATCGCAGGCCTGTGTTATTCGTTCCAGGAAATAGTCAAGGGCCAATTAGAATATCGGAAATACGTAATAGCGCCGCGAGATTAATGGAATATATTACAGCTAGATGACGTTTTATTTTTATTAAATATACCTTCACATTGCGATACATATTTTAAAATGCAAATGAAAAGTGTTTAAAATACAAACTGAAGAGCAATCATATTTACGTTGCTCTCTTTACAAAGCAGAAGTAAGAAATCTCTCGCTAATGATCGGAAATATTCGGTGCAAGCATGCTGTACTAGCGCCCTCGACTTGTGGTGGCTGGCTGCTCGAACTCGTATCTCGCGATGGAGCGTACATCACAGTGTTTCAAAAAAAAAAAATGTTTCCCTCCAGTGGCACAGAGGTATGTCTGCGGACTTACAACGCTAGAATCCGGGTTTCGATACCCGTGGTGGGCAGAGCACAGATAGCCCATTGTGTAGCTTTGTGCTTAATTACAAACAAACAAACAAAAATTTTTTTAAATCTTACGTCAGTGTTTTCCAAACTGTGGGGCGCGTACTGGCGGGGGCTTTTTGGCGGGATAGCCCAAAAAGAACGACAGAAGAAACAGAAGAATTGGAAACGATTGTAACCTAACAAAACTTTCACTATGCTCTTGGTGCTTTTATATATATATATTTTGCTCTCACGTTTTTTTTTTATTATTTTCAAAAAAATATATAAAATAGGTAAAGAAAACGTTCGTTTTGTTGCTATCACCTGCGAAAATTATTTCAATATTAAGGGGGCGCCCGCAACGGAAACTTTGCAGAGTTAGGGAGCGCCGCTATTTATAGTTTGGAAAACGCTCTCTTACGTTGACGAGCGTCTCGTTGAGGGCCACAAGAAAGCAACCGCGGGCCACGTAATGGTTACCGCTACTTTAGTCTTATTATTTCAAAATTAGGCATGGCTATGCAACCGCCGGCCACGTAATGGATACCGCTACTCTGGTATTATTATTTCAAAATTAGGTATGGCTATAAGCAGATAGCCCAAAGCTCGTGTAGTTTTGGGCGAAAATTCTAAACAAACAATTTGTTATTTGCTAAAATTTAAGTTTCATAGTGGGTATCTTATGAGGCAGTTATTCGTTTGTGATTTGCTAGCGGTGTTGCATAATGTTTTTGTTAAAGTATGTTCGTTTAATATGCAATTAACAGTTTATTTGTCTTCTCTCCTTTTGTCACTGGTGATTTGTCAGTCATTGGTCTATGTTGGCGTAACTAGGACTAGAGTAATTTATAAAACTGCATCGTTCAGTGTTGTTGCGGGAGCGGCGGGTTCGAATCCCCGTCACACCAAACATGCTCGCCCTTTCAGCCATGGGGGCGTTATAATGTGACGACCAATCCTACTATTCGTTGGTAAAAGAGTAGCCCAACAGTTGGCGGTGGGTGCTAAATTAGGGACGGCTAGCTCATATAGCCCTCGTGTAGCTTTGCGCGAAATTCAAAACAAACAGTGTTGTTGCATGAGTCAATGCTAGTTTAACATGGCGGAAAATGCTTATAATTTTCCCTAAAGGAAGCCAAAGGGATCCCCCTGTTTTAACCACTTGCACCGTTATACAGTAATATGTTGTCTGTCTGTCAGTCAGTAGACACTAAAGGACGCTTAGAGTTGCAATTTGTACTGCCATGGCGTCAGTAAAACGTGCGCATGCCATGAATCACGAGAATGACATATGAACTTCAAAAGCAAGAAATAAAAATATTTGTTACTCATTATTTTGGTTTTATTTACTCTTGAAAGAGAACACTTTCGGTGACCCTGCACAAGTACATCTAGTAATTAGTATGATTGTTTAACATTTCATTTTTATAGGCTCTGACAAAGCTTGTGTATGAAAAATTATAGGCAACCAGTCGAACGATATTTGAATAAAGGAATAGCCCAAAACGGAATTCAAAGTAATAACAATACCGTTCCAATTTTAGTTAATTTTTACAATTCTTAAGTGCGTGTTATCTCTTATTTATACAGTTTAAATAAAAGTATTTATTTAACATAAGCAAATTGTTTCTCTGTTTTAAGTTTAAAAAAAATCAAAGTGAGAAATATTTTTTTATGTCGGGCATTATTCCATTGAATACTTAACCAGCTGCTTTCATACAAAAGCGGGCCCCGGCATGGCCAGGTGGTTAGGGCGCTCGACTCGCACCAAACATGCTCGCCCTTTCAGCCGTGGGGACGTTATAATGTGACGGTCATTTCCACTATTCTTTGGTTAAAGAGTAGCCCA